ACGATATCTGCATTCCACTGGAGTGATCGGGCAGAGGTATTTTTCATAGGACCCTGGAAAGATCAAGGATGCCCAATGGTGGGAGCTACCCCTGCAGGGAAGAGGAACAAGGGCCAGGAATATTACCCTCTTGCATGTTCTGAGGTCCAGGACAATGTAGAATCTTGTGAGGTTGGGGTCCTAGAATCTCAGGGCCTCCAGGGCATTCTAGAATTCCCAGCTCTGAGTTGGGAGTGTCTTCAGAGCTATACCCCTTATTTAGAGAGGTGGGAAGTGAGACCCTGAGTGAGAAAGAAATGTTTCCAAAATGAGAGATTCCCACCTTGATTGGCTCTTGGGTACCTTCTCCATGTTCCTTCACAACCCCCAGGCTCAAGGGGAGGCCATGAAGGCAGTGCTGATCCCAATTCGAGAGACTATGACCCCAGAATCGGATGTCTCCATTGCACACATCCTGGCTGCCCGAGCTGATCTGTCTCGTCTTGTTCCAGCCACAAGCAAGGCTGCCCGCCGAGGGACCATCTGTGCCATCAACAAGGTGGGCATCTGGGGTTGGGGAAGGGCACTAGCATCTTTGGCCTTCAAACTAGCCTATCAACCTCTGCCTTGGCCCAGCTTTGTCCTCTCCTCTGCCTGGTTTCCTAGCCTCTGGATTCATCACCTCTAATCCACCCTCTCCATATAGCAGTTGGAAGGATATTTCTAACTCAGAAATCTGGCCATGTCCCCACCTCGCTAAAAACCCTCCTATGGCTCCCCAGTGCCTTTCAAACAGTCCATCTGAGCCCCCTGCCCACCTCTCTAACTTTGGCTTAAACTCCTCCCCCAACACCTCACTCTATTATATTAGTTTTCAGCCATTTTAAAAGCAAAAATACCCTCTGTTTAAATGATTATGTATTTGGCCTCATACCTCTGTTTAAATAGACTTTATTCCCTAGTATTTATTCACATAAGTATAAGACTATTTAAACTGGGTCTCAAAGTGGGTGGAGATTATTCTGGAGCTAGATCCAGGGCCCTAGGTGGGCGGAACTAGAAAGAGGGAAGGTTTTTTTGTTTGTTCTAATCCTCACCTGAGGATACTTTTTCCGTTGATTTCTAGAGAGAGCGAAAGGGAGAGAGAGAGAGAAACATCGATCTGAGAGAGATATATCGATTGGTTGCCTCCCGTGGGCGCCCCTACTAGGGCTGGGGAATCGGCAACAGAGGTACTTGCCCTTGACCTTGAAGGGGAATCAAACCCGCCAAGCTCTAACCATGGAGCCACCCGCCAGGTAGGAAGTAATAGGGGCAGTACTTATGTGAATAAATACTAGGGAATAAAGTCTAGCACAGCAAAGAGGTAAAATTTAAGAAAGTTATTTGCTTTAAGGAAATATAGTAAGTAAGTAATATTACAGGTGATGCACAAGTGATGGATATTTAGAAAAACACATGCTGCTTTTCTGGAAATGTTAGGCAAAGGCCAAATATAAGATAAACATAAATTGAGGTGCCCTTATTACTATTGGTGTGGACTTGGACCTCTGCCAGCACTCTGTTTTATTTCCCTCTTCCTGAGGCCCCTGGAACCCAGTTTGAAAGCTCCAGGCCTGTATCTTCCACCAATCCAACCCCCTAGACACTCCCACCCATTATACCTAAATAGTCAACATCTGCCCTTCCTTTTTTTAAATTCATGCTGTTCCCTTGGCTCTCTGGCCCCCTTGTTCAAGATATTTTTCTTCTCTGAAACTAAAGTCTAATCAACTCTCAGGTGCTTATGGGCAATGTGCCAGACCGAGGGGGACGTCCAAATGAGTTGGAGGCTCCTATGCCCAGCTGGCAGAGCAGAAGAGAGAATGGAGGCGGGTGGAAGGCAGGCCGCCACTGCTGGGGCGATAAGAAGAAGAAGAAGAAGAAGAAATAAAGGGGGACTGGGTCCTCTATGAGATGCTGATACCATTGGTAATCTCTGGGAAGTCAATTTGAGGGTGTTTCTTGGCACCTGGCACCCAGGCGCCACATCTCCTATTCCTGAGGCCCTAATTTTCCCCCCCTCTCCCCCACATCCACCATTTAACATCAAGGACCATGTTCTCTGGAAAATAAATTTAATTTATGACAGCTGTGGACCTATCTCTGGGGGTGGGGGAGGGGGAGAGGGTGCACAGGTTTGAGGAGGAGGGAGGGGGTCTCAGTCCCTTGGATCTAAATAGGCTCCTGGTGCTTTGACCCTCAAAGTCCTTTGTTCTTCAGCAACACATTTTTCCCTTCCTGTGGGCATGGGGAAAGAGCATGCAGGCATTGAACAAACATTTATCAGGTACCCAATATGTGGCAGCTCTGTTCGAAGCTCTGTTCTAGGCTCTTGGAATAAAGCAGTGAAAAGTGCAGCCCCTGTCTTGCTGGAGCTGACATTTCTAGTAAGGATGGGCAGATATTCAACAAGAGAAAAAGGTAAAATGTATAGTTGCCGGATGAGGAAAGGATTTTGGAGGAAAATAAAGCAGGAAGGTGGGATCCGGGACCATGGGGAGATTGAAACTTTGAGTACGATGAGGGGTGGCCTCACTGAGGTGACACTTGAGCTGAGTCCCAAAGAGGGAGTCATGTGGGCCTCTGGGGAAGTGTTCTAGGCAGAGGAAACAGCCAGTGCAAAGGCCCTGAGGTAGGAGTATTTTTGGCATGCTCAGGGACCATTGAGGCCAGTGTATCTGAAGCAGGATGGGAGCGGGTAAGTGGTAGGAAGTAATAGGTGCAGACTGTGTGGAGTGGGCTACAGGGAGGACTGTGGCTTTTAACCTGAGTGAAATGGAGCCACATGATCAGACTCGAGTGTTCACTGGCTCCCCTTTCTATCCCTTCTCTAGCCTTCTCTCCTGTCTCTAGAACAGCCGTGGGCAAACTACGGCCCGCGGGTCGGATCCGGCCCGTTTGAAATGAATAAAACTAAAAAAAAAAAGACCGTACCCTTTTATGTAATGATGTTTACTTTGAATTTATATTAGTTCACACAAACACTCTATCCATGCTTTTGTTCCGGCCCTCCAGTCCAGTTTAAGAACCCATTGTGGCCCTTGAGTCAAAAAGTTTGCCCACCCCTGCTCTAGAACCCCAGTGTTTGGGACTCTGCCCTTCTCTCCCGTCCCCCTCCTGACCCACGCTGACTGTCAGTGTAGCACATTGATCAGAAGCTTCTGAGTTAGAGGCAGACAGAAGACTTGGGTTTGAGTCCTGCCTCCAACACTTAGGAACTCCGCCACCTTGGGTGAGCAGCTTAACCTCACGGAGCCTCAGTTTCTTCATCTGTAAAATGAAGACTTAAGGAGTTGGTAAAATAATAGTAAGATTAAATGCGTCCAACATGGAGCTGCACAGTTAACTAAGTGCAGGATAAGGGAGTCCAATTAATAGCTACTCTGATGCAAAAGAAGAAAATAACTTCCCGATGTCTAGGAATTTGGCTTGGAGGACTGGATGGGTGGCGAGGCCATCGTTGGGAGGGGAACCTGGAAGGAAGAAGACATTGGATGATATGGGGGTGGTGGTGTATGATGTCCAGAAGATGTTTCACTGCCAGCAGTACCTCCCCAGGCTTTTCTCTCTCTCTCTCTTTTTAAAAATATGGAATGCTTCACGAATTTGGGTGTCATCCTTGCGCAGGGCCATGCTAATCTTCTCTGTATCGTTCCAGTTTTAGTATATGTGCTGCCGAAGTGAGCAGCTCTCCAGACTTTTGTTAAGTGGATGAATGAATGTCCCCTGTGGACATTTTTTAACCCAATCTCAGAGTCTCTGCCTTTGAATAGTAAAATTTACTCCATGACATTTATTGTAGCTCCTGATATATTTGGCCTTATTATTGCCATCTTATTATTTCTTTATTTTTTTCTCCCTAAAATCCTTTTCCTATTCTGCTGAAATTTCTGTTTTTCTAACAACAGTAAAAATTTACCAGAATCTCCTACCCAAGTAATTGAGGATTTTTGCACAGTTTTACTTTCCCGTGCTTCCCCAAATCTGTTTGGGTTCCCCAGGCAAGTGAGTTGGTCTTCCCTGTATCCACTTGGGGGTCAGGGGCAGTTTCTCCTCACCGTGTCTGGTTCCCAGGAAGGGTGTGGGGGCTCTGTCTGGGTCCAAGCATGGTGAAGGTGGCACTCCGTCTCAGGTTCCAGGGCGTATGTGTAGGAAAGACTGTCCTCAGAGCCTGTTTTGAGGGTATGGGTGGGAGGAATGTGGGTATGTTGGGAAGAGCTTCATGACCTTGGGATTAATCCCTATGTACCAAGCCCCCTTCCCAGGACTGTACACCCCGGATCTTACCACAGCTGGCACGGGGCGTCGGTGTGGGTAGGACAGGGGCTCCTGGGGGGCTCATGTCGCCCTTGGGCCCTGGCTTCCTACACTCCTCCTTTACTCGGTCTCTGCAGTGTTTGTGGCAACACAGTCCACAGTCTGGGGGAAGGCAGCAGTTAGTGGTCAAAGGCCCAGTCCATGCCCCCATTCTTCTGGGCTGCAAGTCCTGAACTCCCTCCCCCCTCACTGATGTCCCACTTACCCCGACAGCGGTAGCCTTGCTTGGTAACACCCCAGAGCTGGGAAGAGAAAGCAGAATAGGTTACCAAGGCTAGGAGAGGCAGGGCTGTGGATGGGGCGGGGCTCTTTGGAAGTGTGGAAACCATCGAGGTTTTGGAAATTCTCAAGGCTAGGTAGAGGTTTATGTGGGATGAGGATTAAAGGAATTTGGAGGTTTACTCAAGTTTGGGGAATCATCTAGGGCCTAGATTCTAGGCCAGTGATGGCGAACCTTTTGAGCTCGGCATGTCAGCATTTTGAAAAACCCTAACTTGCCCTAACCAGTTTGGCTCAGTGGATGGAGCGTCGGCCTGCGGACTCAAGGGTCCCGGGTTCGATTCTGGTCCATCCCCAGTTGGGAGTGTGCAGGAGGCAGCTGATTGGTGTTTCTCTCTCATCGATATTTCTAACTCTCTATCCCTCTCCCTTCTTCTCTGTAAAAAAATCAATAAAATATATATTTAAAAAACAAAACAAAAACCCTAACTTAACTCTGGTGCCGTGTCACATATAGAAATTTTTTGATATTTGGAACCATAGTAAAACAAAGATTTATATTTTTGATATTTATTTTATATATTTAAATGCCATTTAACAAAGAAAAATCAACCAAAAAAATGAGTTCGAGTGTCACCTCTGACATGCGTGTCATATTCGCCATCACTGGTCTAGACTATTAGAACTGGGTCAAATTTGGAATTCTGTGGGCAGGGATTGTGTCTGTTGTGTTTCCTGCTTGAGCCCAGACTGTGAGGAGCTAGGACACTCAGAAGATGGGCCCCAAGGATGATAGTGGGCTGAGTGCTCACGAAACCACTGCAGCTGTCACAGAAGGTGGGCTTGCGGAAGGTGACCTCATGGAAGGTGTGCAAGAAGGCCAAGCCTAGCTTGGAGCAGATGGCACTGGCCCGGAGAAGGTATCCCGTCAGCTCCTCTCGGCTGAAGGAGCCACTCCTGGGGGCAGAGACCTCACTTCAGTATGACTTGCCCCTTTCTCCCAGACCCTGGGGTCTTGGAAACCCGGGTATCCTCATCTGTGGGGGCCTTAGGAATCAGAGCACTTACTCTTGGCCGGGGGGTGGGTGAAGCCCATGGCAGGCAAAGGGGAAGTTGCCTGAGAGTCGCTCAAAGTCCTCAAGAGAGATGGTTCCTCGGCCTTCAGGGTCATAATTCTTGAACACGGACTTCAGAGGAACATGGGAAGGGGAGAGTAAGGCCAAGTCATGATCCCTTCAGTCTTAGGGTCAGGGCTATACAGGTAGCTTCCTTCTTGGCCCCCAGTAGCCGGGCCACAGTCCCCTCCTTACCTCTACCAGCTGCTCCACATGCAGACCCAGGGTGGCCCTGTCGGGCTTGGGCATCACACCAGGGGCCCACTCCACCACCAGGGGTGGTTTGAAGGGGGAGGATGGCTGGGGCAGGGACAGAGGGGCATAGTTAGTCAGTGCATAGGCTTGGGCTGGAGGTCAGAGATCAGGGTTTGGAGGTCAGAGATCAGGGTTTGGGTCTCACCAGACTCTTGGGACAGCGAGGCTCCCGGGTGTAAGAAAGCTCATAGATCTCGTCCTCCGTGTAGAAGAGATCCAGGGAAAGCTGGGGGTGGGCAGGGTGTTATAGACCCTTTGTCTCCATCCTCCTACCTACAGCCATTGCCCTGCCTGAGCCTCCATTCTCCTCCTCTTCCCAAAAGCCCCCTCTTCTCTGGGGACCTGGAAGGTCTTCTCTCCCACTGAGACCTATTTGTTCTTCACAGCACCTGTCCCCTAGTACAGGTATGCTACTTTCTCACCAAGGCTTTTTTTGGATCCTATTTAAAAGTGCAAACCCCTGCTCCTTTCCATGCCATTTTCTGCCTTAATTTACTCTCTCATACTTATCTAAAAGACCATATGATTTACTTATTTGCTTTGTTTTATGGGCTGTCTCCCCCACTAGGATGTCGGCCCCACAAGAACAGCCCCTCCCCCCTTTTTTTCTGACTTGCTCACTGCTGTAAACCTAAGTGCCTAAAGTAGTGCCTGGCTCACAGTGGGTATTCAATAAATATTTGGGCTGATGGCCTTTCAGAGTCAGCAAAGCTTAGAACCCTTGGCACCACTCATATTAGGGCGGGGCCAGCTTCATGGGCAAGCCCCACACTTAGAAGGGCCCCCATTTTGTTTAATGCCCTGTCACCAGTCTTGAAAGTCTGAAGAATTTGGAACAAGGAGCTCTATATTTATTTGTATTGCAACTGTAAACCTACTTTTGCCCACCCCTGTATATATGAATCTCCAGAATCCCACACTTCCAACCTTAGGACATAGTGTAGTAGTTCACATATGTTACACACGTGGGTTCTGAAGCTGGCCTGCCCGGGTTCAGATCCAGGTTTTACTGCTATGGGAGAGTGGGCAAGTGACCTCCCCTCTGTGGTCCTGTTTCCTAATCTGTAGAAATCGTGATAAGGGTCCCCACCTTGGAGTTGTAGAGTGTTTTACATGGTGCCTGGCCCAGAGTAAGTGATCAATAATTATTACTAGCTTTTTGCTTAGATTCATAGTATGTTAAAGCTTGGGATTTTGGACTAATGACATGAGAAGCTCAGAACCTTGGAGTTCAGAAGTGTGAAAGCCCAAGGCAATTCTGGACCTCAGATCAATGGATACTTGAGTTGCTGGGGGAATGGGAGGAAAATGCATAATTTATGTGGAGCTCACTGTGTTCCAGGTACTAATTTAAGCACTTTATGTGAATTATATTATTGATTGGTTCTTCTCAACTACTCTTTGAAGTGGGTCCTATTATTCCCATTTTGCAGATAAGGAAACTGAAGCCAAGGGGCTAAGTGACTTGCCCAAAGCCACACAGCTAGGAAAAGCAAAACAAAACAAAACAAAACACCTAGGAGCTCTGGTTTCAAAGCCCAAACATCCCAACACTATTCTCTCCTGGCACACAGCCCTTCACCCACCCAGGATCCCAGGCTCAGCCTCCTCGGCTGGGGCAGGGCTGCTCACTGTAAGCAGATGCAGCAGGTCCTCATTGGCACTGCAGGGGGGATGCTGCTTCTGAAGGGCTGCCAGTTCCTGCAGCCGTAGGTAGAGGCTGTTGAGCTTGGGAAGGTGCAGGCGGCCATCAGGTAACCTGTCTGGCTGTGCCTCATGCAGGGACACCAGGTCCTTGAGGTGCACACCCAGCACAGGCAGCCGGAAGCCCATACAGCCAGCCCAGGCTCGGCGATAACAGGCATAGTTGTTGTGGGCAGCGAGCAGCTCAGTCAGCTCCAGCAGGGCCTATGTGGGAGGCCATGTTGGGGAGAGGGTATCATGTTATCGGGGAAACCAGGTTCTGCTCCCTTAGCCCCCTGGAGGGGTGTATCCTAGCAGCCCCCTGTGTGGGCTCCTGACCCCAGGGGCCCAATGCCATTTTTGGACACTTCCCCAAACCCCTCTGTGTCCCACATTGGCCTCAACATCTTCTCAAACTTGCTCTTTCTTGGGTCCCCAGGCTAGAGTGATTCTTCCAATACCTAAGTCTGATCATGGATGTTGCATCATTCTCAAATGTTCCCTAACTCCCCAGTGCCCTCTGGATAAAGCCCAGACACCTTAATTGAGATTGCAAGGTTCACCTGGATCTTCCTCTGAACATCATCTGCCACCTCCTGACCTCAGCCACACACCAGACTCATGAATGACTCACTTTCCCCAGACATTACCAGGATCCCATCCCATGCTCCTCCCATGGGTGGCCCAAATGTTGGCATTCTTGGGGGCATTGTTTTACTCTGCACCTGGACTGCAAGTTCTCCACTAGCACCTTTCTCATCTGTCTCTCGCCAGTCCTGCTCAGGACTGGGCACACAGTAAGAGATGTCAGCATGACAGGTGGATGGGTGAAGAGGGAGGAAGAATGGCAGAGGAGAACAGAGCCTGGGGATCTGTTGGATTTGGATGAGCAAGGTCTCCAGAGCCCCAGGGATAAAGGGGGTTGGAGAAAAGTGGGAGTTCAGGACCACTAGAATTTTTGGGAGGGTAGTGGGGCCTCACCTTGGTGCTGTCAGGACTCAGGTGGGCATGGGAGTCCTTGAGCCTGGAGATGGCACTGTGACACAGGCCCCCAGTGACTGCCATCAGTGTGTTGAAATTCTGCAGCTGGTGGAGACTCTAGGGAGGCCGATGCAGAAGTGATGGGGGTCACATGGAGCACGGATAAGTTGGGGGTTCAGATGACAGCATCCCAATTGAAAGTACCCAGTTGAAGTTGACGTCCCAGGCATGTGTGGGTGTGGACCAGTATGGGCATGACAGGTGAGATGTGTCAGGCAGGAGTGGGCCACAAGCAGGTATGTAACCGACTAATGTGAGGTCAGAAAAAAAGTGGAGGGACTCAGTCAAGTATGGGGTGTTGAACTAGACAGGTGTAGGTGATTCAGACAGATATCAGGGTGTCAGGAACCTGGAGGTCTTCACTGCTTTGCGAGTCAGATGTGGGGAGAAAGAAGGTCGGGCTCTGGGCCAGAGTTAGGAACAGGGCAGAGGTGAATGGGGTCAGAGTGACATAGAGGGGTCAGGTAGAGACAGGTGTGGGGTCAGCTGGCCATCAGGGAGAATTGCCTCGCCCTCCCCTTTTCCAAGTTTGAAGGGCGCAGGTCGCTGCGAGGAGAAAGTGGAACCAGGAGGAAACCCGCAGGCAAACCCAGAACCGCAGGTCTAAGCGGCCCAGCAAGGGAAGCAAAGGCGCAGGGAGAAGCCAGAGGAAGGGTGTGGCTGCAGGAAGTACGCAAGGGGCGTGGCCACGCTAGGGGAAGGAGGGCTTCCCTTTTCTCTAGAAGGGAGGGAACGTGTCTGCAGGGGAGGAGCGTGGCATGGGGCGGGGCAGGGAGAGACTTGACTTGAGGGGAAAGGATGTAGTCACTATTCCCGAAGAGGCGGCTGGAATGATTCTAGGGACTGGGTGGAGGATGACGCAGGGGTGGAGGGCATGAAAGAGACGCTTTTATTGCCTTGGAGACAATATTCGGGTATAGGGCTTGGAAGACGGGGCCAGGAGGGATGTTGTCAACTGCCAAGTTTAGGACCACGGGGTGGGGGCCAGGGAGGGTTGGATGCGGTGATAGCAAGGCCAAGGAACCAGGGCTGTCACAGTCCGGGTAAGAACCACCAGACTGAGACCTG